TAAAGACACATAGTACGCTCATACAATTGAGGGTGTATGAGACTATCAGCCCCCAGATGTCGATGTGTCGTGGTCCCCCGCCCAAACATGCCCGGGAATGGAGATACAGGGCCGTGAAACACGCTAATTCTTCCATGCTCGCGCCACTGCCTTTTACGGCGCAGATTCCCGCCGTTGATAACATCCGTTGCAAGCGCGCCTGTCGCGTGCGGCTCCTTGGCACTTTGCCAAGTCCTTTAATTGCGCTCTCAAATACAAGGAAAAAAACGCAATTCCTGATGCGGTGATAACACTGGATGCTACAAAATAAGAGCAGAAGATGATGACAAGGGGCAGAACTCAAGAGCAACTCGGCTGCATCTGCAGTATCCATCAAGGGCCGCGCATTCCCACAAAACATGAAAATAAAAACTAAAAACGGCATACTCGTTAGTTTAATACAAGCAAGACGCAATTTCCTGATGCGAATAAAATTTAAGGTGTTGCTCATGCTTCAAAATCCATGTACAAGGAGATGAAGATGACACAGGCTAGAAATGAAGCACAACGATGTAAATGTAAACAAAACAAAAATGAAAAAATCAAGGAAAGGCAAATTAGATAAACTGGCCTGTAAATTTCTACGATCCGGCGCCAAAGCCATAGAAATACTTAGAACAAACGAGTGGGACGCTTGGGCTGTTTATTTTCATGTTTTGTGGAATGCGCGGCCCTTGATGGATACTGCAGATGCAGCCGAGTTGCTCTTGAGTTCTGCCCTTGTCATCATCTTCTGCTCTTATTTTGTAGCACCTCCAATGTTATCCGCCATCAGCGAAATTGCGATTCTTCCTGCTGTATTTGACGAGCGCCAATTACAAGGACCTTGCAACATTGCCGAGAGCGCACGCGACAGGGCGCTGCTTGCAAGGATGTTATCAACGCGGGAATCTGCGCCGTAAAAAGGCAGTGGGCGGAGCATGGAAGAATTAGCGTGTTTCACGGCCCTGTATCTCCATTCCTGGGCATGTTTGGGCGGGGGACCACGACACATCGACATCTGGGGGGCTGATAGTCTCATACACCCTCAATGTGTATGAGCGTACTATGTGTCTTTAAGTGTAGGGAATATAAGAAAATAAGTATTTTCAAGCTAATTACACATTTTGTATTGATAAAATCTTATCCACCTCTGAAACCTCAGGAGAGGTTCCCTTGACCGTGTCTAATTCTGATTTCTACCCTAACACGTTTTGTTGTGAAAATAGGAAGAACCCACCGCTTGAACTCACACTTTCCTTTTGGTAATGAGCAGCATTCACCAGCGTAGGCCAATGTGAGAACTTGACCATGTCGTTCTGCCTCACACTGGGCTATTCTACATGGAAATGTTTTAGGGATTTGGTAGTTTCATGGGGTAGCGAAAGAGCCCAAGTACCTACTTGAATTCGCACAAATTACGATGAGTTCGGTTACACAATTCGCAGATCGGTCGGTACTCTTCTTCGCATTGTCGACTGCAGCATAGACCCTGAAATACATTTCTAAGCGAACTTAATGAGACATTATGTGACGATTCGGGCATGCTCGTGCGTGGAGAGGGCGGAGGACGTACCACGGGTGTATCGTCAGTCCCATTAAGGTGCGGGAAGCCACAAAAAACATGTCTCGCATCATACGAGCGTCCTTGAGACTTCGGGTTTCCGCGAAGCGGCTTTTTCCCCATTCTTGCGCGAAGCGCCCACCTCACATTGCACACAACAGGCCTTATTACATGCCTACCCCCAGATAGTCCACCCCTTTGCCGCGGCACAAATTTACACTCACAGCTAGACGCCCTCCCCTCCCTCCCAACCCGCCTCAGGCGCAACATCAAAGGTCAATCCATCGGGCGGAGTGACTTCGGGTGTTGTGTATTACTCGTTGGTGGAGCACTACTTCCGAAAGACGGTGCGCAGTGATCCAAATGACCAAATCCATACGAATACTCGTTCAGTCTAGTACAAAAATCATGACGTTCAGCCGAGTACCGAAAGCATGACTTATCTTGAAAGGACTTACCGTTATAGTCGAAGTTAATCGGACTATTTGGATGAATTTTATCATGTATACATTTGGTGTTTTGGAAGTGACATCTCGTGGCATGCGTCCCTCCACGTGTATCGCAAACGGGAGACGAGTCATCTTTATGACATATTTCAATCGTACAACATTCTCCTAAATAACCACTGGTTTGAAGGCTTTGGAAAGTGGGCGTAAATCAAACCTTCCTTCGACCAGTAGCGAAGTGACAACTAAAACTTTTGGTAGCGGTCATCCTACGAAAGGCCAGAGCGCAGAGAAATAAAAAATTGCGACTGCCAAAACACCGAGAGGCACAGAAAAACATGTCGCTGGGCCAGGAAATGATTTTTCCAAAGGGAGAGGACAACAAGGTGGATGAGCCACTTATTATGCGTGAAAAGTTGGAATGTGAAAGGTCAGAGCGGTCACAGAACGCCATGCAGACGTGAGAGCGCAGAGAAAAACAGAAAGTTGGCGCGATTAAAGGGATTGAGTTCGAGTTGTTCGTAGACCGCAGCGATCCAATGATTGGCGGTGGAGCGCACTTTCTCGCTGTTGCGGTGTATGAACGCGCCCTCGGAAGACGTAAAGGAAGCTGCTCGTGACAACATGAAATTTGATATAAAAGCGCCATATATAATCGGTTCAGGATTTTGTAGTCGTGGGAGCATGGAGACTTCCATTTTTGAGCATCACTAAGACATTTGAGATTTAGTGTACACCTACTTGTCACATCCTTCCGCTCCGCTTATGCATTATTGAGTTGAGTGTTGTTGTGGATGCACTGGAGGTTATCCCCTTCAAAGAAGTCGTGTGGTTCACATATAGTCTCGTTCAAACCTGAGCTGAGCAATAGATGTTGATGGCATCGTATTAGTCAACCCTTTATAGACTTCTGAAATTTTTAGGGAAGGGTATACGGACGCTCAGGTCCAGGGGGTGTTGG